TGTTATGTTCTTACTTATGCAGTCATTTGGGGCCTATTTTCAGTTATTATTTCATTTCATAAAATATCAAAAACAACACTTTTATGAAAAATTGTTGTAGTTTATTTAGAAAATAAAAACAGCTGCATAATTTCACCACACCCCCATCTTGACCGACATGATGTTTAAAAAAAAACACTTTGTTTTGGGATATCTAGTTTCAGCATCGCCCAGCTTCAGCAGTGCTGGACTTTTCATGACGCTCTCCGTCCACCTCTGTGTACCCGGGCTGCTGCCTCTGAAACTTCAGGGAAGGCCAGTAGCTCCTGCGTCTCTGGAAGACAAAGTGATGAAACCGTTAAAGCGATGTGGATATTGTCAGCCCCAACGCAGCCGGTGGTTGTTTTCAGCTCACCTGGATGAGGTGAAGCGGTGAAGCTGCAGGATGGCAGTGGATGAAAACAGCCACGAGTACCAAAGCCAAGAGTAAGACCAGAGCTGCCGCTATCCCAGCCACCACTGCTGTGTTCGAAAACCTTCTGGTCTTCATCGAGGAGCCTGTTTTCACATCCGCTGCTAAGATTAAAACAAGAGATTATAATCCGGTCCAACAGGGATTGAAGATAACGGTTCATAGAAGCAGGACTCACCGCTGCTGAATGTGTGAAGCTGAGTGTCATCTGAATAAAAAAAAAATTAAAATCAGAGTTTTAAATGTGTCCACTGAGCGTCAAAATAAAAGCTTGAATTCCTATGTTTTATGTAGTTTTAGGTATCAAACTACTCCTGTATACTTTGTGTTATTCATTCGGTCGTGCAGCAAAACGTTCGGCTCATTCAGGACATGGATGCTGTGACTTTTGTTTTTTGTAACTTTTACCCTTTTCCAAATATTTTATTATATTTACAAATACTTTCCATACAAACATTGTTTTCTTCAATCCATTCACAAACATCATTCTCTTTGAAATCTGCCCAAACAAACTGGCTGTTTTTGTCTTCTTCAGCTTGCATTCTGCTACTTTTAGCATCTAGCTAGCTTAGTTAGCATCTGGCTATGTTTAGCTTCCAAACAGCTTGTTGCTACTTATAACTTCTAGCTAGCTTTAGATGGTTTCAGCTATAATTGTGTATTGCTATTAGCTAGTCTTTTACTAATGTTAGCTTTTACCTTTTGTTACTTTTAGCAAAATGTTTGATACGTTTAACTTTTTGCTAAACTTTTGCTGCTTTAAATTAGTTTTAATACTCTTGTCATTTACTACGAATGCTAACATTACTACCTTTTTACCTTCTATCTAGCCTTTGACACTTTTAGCTAGCTTTTTGCAACCGTTTCATATACCCGTAACTCCTTTAGCTAGACTTTGGCTTCAGCTAGTCGCTTATTACTTCTTAGCATGCTCTTTTCTACCTTCATCTTCGAGCTAGCCATTTTGATACTTTCAGCATTTATTCAACTTTTGCTGTTTTTACGTTGTTGCTAGCATGTGCTTATTTTATCTTTAACTAGCTTTTTGCTACCTTTACTTTTAGCTAGCTTTTTGATACTTGCAGCTTTTGTTAAGCATCTGCTTCATCTAACTAGTGTTTTGTAACTTTTAGCATTCAGCTAGCATTTTGATAATTTTGGCTTATAATCTTTTGATATTATTTGTTAGCTTTTTGCTACTTTTGATTTTACTTTGATTTAGCTACTTTTATCTTTTAGATAACATTTTGCTATTCTTAATTAGCCTTTTGCTTTTTACTAGCTTTGTTGATACTTTCAGCTTGCTTTTAGCTTATTTAGCTTTAGCTTATCTTGCTGTTTTTAGCTAACATTTTGCTACTGTTATCTTTAAGCTAGTGTTTTTCTCCCGTTGGACTTTGGTTTGGGTTCTTTTAGCTTTAATAACCCTGTTTCAGCAGTTCATCTCTCAGCATTTACTCTGTGCTTTAGCTGTTTCTGTGGTCACCTCTGTCTTCTGCACCACATTCACAGCCGTTTCGTAGAGAAGTCGTCGATGTTGAATCTTCTGTCTCTGGTGCCGCAGAGAAGACGGTGAAGCCGCCGTCCCTGAAGTAATCCTCACAGGTTGCACCTTCGCTCTGCCAAATCACAGCAAGCGCAGAACAACACAATCTTTATAAAAAGTCGAACAAAGCTGTAAAATAATTACAATCTAAAGGTGTACCTCCTCTGAACAGGAATAATCCAACCATTCCTGCCTGTGTCGGTCCATGCCGTCTGAACACCTGAAACACCGCAGGTATTTAAAACGGGATTTAAAATGACCAGCGGTGCAGCGTGGACTTCGTCTCACCTCTGGAGAACGTTGCACCAACTGCAACCGTAGGTTTGGTTGGATGAGAGGCAGAGTTCACAGCTGTCGAGTAGCAGGCAGGCTGCACGGAGGCAGAAGAGCACAAATCTGTAGATATGTCCTTGTTTGGATGCTGATATCACCACGTTTAGGAAATAAAATAAGCGTACTAATGTCCTAAACACTCAGAGATTGGGTATTTAGTTACTTGGCAGTGGTGTGAGCTCTACAGCAGAATGACTGGTGATCTTTGTCACGTCGATCTCGACCCGATGGTATTCATGGATCGTCTGCTGAGCTGCGTCTAATCGAAGAAGGAAAAATTCACGTTCAGTGTTGCGTTCTCACGTTTCTTTAGATCCTTGAATAAACGAAAGCGGTGATCATCAGGAACCTGGTGACTGAGAAGAGGAAGACTTGACCACGAAGGCGTCTGACAAACCGACCTTCACTGGTTGTTCTGACCCGATCTCATCCAAAGGCAGCGGGATCTGGTGAGCAGAAAACAGAAAGTGGGCATTTTCCTCTGACGTGATGAGTGACGTGATCAGATTTTGACAGCAGAGGTGGTAGATTTGTCTCACGTCTCGGTAGCTGAATGTGATCCTTCCTGTTTTGTAAAGCGCAGCCTGAAATGTGAAGGCGCCCTTCGACTCTTTGCCTGGAAGCCTGACCCGCTCCCACTGGACCACAAAAACTTCCCCTAAAATCAGTCCGACCGTGAGAATACGTAACAGTGAAGTGTTGAAACGCCAAATGGTTTCGTACCGTTGTCCAGATACTGCACAGTAGACTCTTTTGAGTGACCGGGGTCAAAGTTGGCCATAAGTGGGGCGACGTACTGTGTGCTGGTCAGCATACGATGAGTAACGTCCCCCGTGAAGATAAATCCTGAAGACCACCAGATGAAGACATGAGTATGCCTTGTAAACAAATACAGGTCTATTCTCTGAGCATGTGCAGAAAAGATACCTCCTGTTGCTATGACGATCTGCCTCAGGTAATGTCCATAAAAAGGAAAGTCAAACGACATGGCGACTCTCTGAAAAGAAAAAACAGATGCAAACCATCACAGTGAGAGTTGAGGTGATGGGTTTAGGTCGTGTCCATATAGACATTTAAAAACAGGCTTTTGTTTGCAGTAAGGACCCAAATGCAGGAACAACGGGAACAAGTCCAGGAGCTCAACCAGAATCTTTAATCACGAAACCAAAACAAACGGGAACATTGGCAAAATGTAAGCAGGTAATCTGACAAAAACTGAGGACCAAGCAGTGAACCAGGTGGAACGTGTGTGCTGATTACTAATGAAACGCAGCTGGTATGTGAGGAGCTGGACACCAGAACGTCCAACCATCCAAGCATTATCTTCCACTTGTATCAGAGTCGAGTCGCAGGAGCAACAGTTTGAGCAGGGAGGTCCAGCTACCTCCTTCAGTTCTTGGGAGGACTCCAGAGCATTCCCAGACCAGCCGAGAGGCATACGATAGTCTCTGCAGTGTGTCCTGGATCTTCCCCAGGGTCTCCTCCCAGTTGGACATGCCCAAAACACATCCTGGACTCCAGGAAGACTCCAAACCCCCTCGATTGTATCAACAATCTTGGTCTTTTGGTCACTACATAGTTTGTGAGTGACAACAGGCCAGTAGACTGCTCGATAAACAGAGAGCTTCTCCGTACATTTCAGCTCCATCTTCACCACAATGGACCGGCACAGAGTCCACAATACTGAAGGAGCCACACCTATTGGTCTGTTGATCTCATGCTCCATTCTTCCTTCACTCATGAACAACTTGAGATACTAGAATTCCTCCACTTCAGGCCGCACCTCAGTCCCAACCCGGAGAGGGCAATCCACCCTTTTCTGACCGAGGACTATAACCTCAGATTTGGAGGTGCTGATCCTCATCCCAGCCCGCTCCAGTGAGAGCTGAAGATACCGGCACAATGACCCCAACAGGACCGCAACGTCCACAAATAGTAGACAGAATCCTGAGGTCACCAAACCGGACCCTTGGTTTCCACCCCCTGACATCACTGAAACAAGAACATCAAACGGCGATGATGGAACAAGAACATAAATAAAGAACCGGATCAGCGCACTTAATAATCTAAAGATAATAAAACCAAATGTTTTTGTTTTATTACTTCACAAAAAAAAAAGAACAAACACAAATCGTGACACAAAACTCTGATTTGTTCTATTTTTTGGCAACGTCTGTTTTAACTTAACTTGTTTTTGTGGGATTTGAGTTATTTGAAGTGACCAAAGTAAATTTTCAGATAAATATTTTTGAATTGACAGTGAAACCGTCCTCCACACTTTGGATAAACTGTATATTATATGTATGAATATGTGTGTGGGAGGGCGTGTAGCGCAGCGGCAGAGCATTTGACTGCAGATCAACAGCCCCCCCCCCCCCCCCCCAGTTCAACTCTGGGTGCCCCCTGAACCGAACATCTGTTTTAAAAGCCGTATGTAATGATTCCTGAGGTTAGGAAATATTCCCAAACACAAGCCAAATGAACATGATGTCAATTTATAAGTTTTCTGATCAAGAGTTTTTTTTAATTATTTAGAGCTCAAATTTTGGTGCTTCGTCTTCAGATCATCCAGATCTGCAGTCCAACACATTTAAGATAAAACATCATATTATATTCAATTAAAACAGTGGGGGGGGGGGGGGGGGGGCTCAGTGGTAGAGCAGATCAGCAGGTCCCCAGCTCAAATCTGGGTGCCCCCTTTAGCTTGAGCTCAGTGAGTCAATTATATTCTGAAGGAAGACATCTGTTGTCATGACCTTTAAATATAGATTAAGATTAAATGTTCATTTCTTGTGATTATGAAGAGGGAACAGCATAAAGAAAACATTTATTGTGATTGCAATGCAAAGTAATTAGATAGGAATTAGCTTTGTGCACAAACATACACAGTTTTATCAACGTGGAACATTAAAGAACATTTATCTCTTATGGTTCTGGGATCTTTTTTTAATCTTTAACATGTTAATACTAGCAGGAAGTTGCAATGAAAACAGAATATTTTTCTCAGAATGCTAATTTGAGACACTTTTGACTCCTTCGATGAACAAATCCTAGCAAGTTGTTAGGAGGCAGCTGGAACTCTTTTACCTGTAACCATATTTAAACGTGACTGATTAACTTTTGGAGTCAACCCAATTAAAGATGGCTGCCACAGCTAAGTGTCTTTAGAAAACACAAAACTGGCTATAGCTCAGTCACTTTTAGACCCCAAACTCGGAACGAAAGTAGCTGAGAGTGCAACAACTCACAATTATTTTAATTGTTTTAATTATTTTCCCAGCTGCAGCTTCATCGTTTCTCAGCATGATATGAGTTTAGTTTGAAACTCTGGCCTGATAGGCGGCAGGCGATGTGCACCCCTTAAAGGAATACTAGATTTAATTTTTTTAAAGATGTTTAGTTTTTAATCCAAGGAGAGATCTGAGAAAACTCAAAAAGAGGAAGTCTAGTTGCGCTGCGTTTCCCCTGATTCTGCAGCAGCAGTGAAGTGGACTGGTGACACTTACCACGGCTTGTTTGTATGAATTGGACAGGAGGCTGTGGACCCTGACTTGGCCGTGCCGGACGTCACTCATATCAAACCACAGGTCGTGGGTCCGCTGCTCTTCAGGGCCGAAGCTTCGCCACGTGTAGTACCTGTTGGAGTCCTATTTTCAGACAGAACAGAAGGAGGATCAGAAGGTTAAAAAAAAAACAAAAAAAAAACAGCTTAATCACCAAGAACATGTTGAAATCTAGGTTTGTGTTGTTCCAAGTCTGTGGGAAAGTTTCCAAAAGAGGGCACTGTTTGACTCCAACTAAAACAAACGCCAGGTTCCAAAGCGAAAAGACAAATGCTTCAAACATCTTGGGAAACCCTGCGGTGCAGCACTCACCACTACATGTGTCATGTCATTTGGCAGGGTGTTGATGGTGACTCCTCCGCCCCGAGAGGCCCTGCTCATCCTCCTCAAAGACGGTTTGTGGCCTCGGTCACCAGCATGTGACTGTGAGGTCACGCTGTGCAGGTCACCTGTGAGGAAAATGGGACACCAGTATCTTTTTTTTTTAATTAGTCTAGAATTGTATCAGATTATGAGTCTGCTGGTTTCAAACATTTCAAAAGGCAGTTTTACTGAAACTCTCTGATGTTTACAGCTGTGGTTTCAGACAGCCAGCCTTGTGAGAAATTAAAACCTTTTGAGTGTGTCTGCCTTGTCAGTTTGAGACATTGTTGAACGAAGACAAAAACATTTGTCCTGCTTTTAGAAACGACTTGTCAAACCCTACAATCAAAAGAAACCATATCTAGTAAGCAAACCAGGGTGGGTAGGCTTTGTTTTAAAGTTTTGTGTGTTTTAATTGATGGCTTGTCTCGGTTTCAAGCCACACATTTCTGGTTCCTGTTAGGTGTTTATTTTTCCACGAAGCTGTGATTTTTATTGCGCGTGGAAAATTCATGTCTGCTGTTATATTTGTACTGATTATTTGATCTAAACCTGAAGGCGTTGTTGTCCTCACACGACCTCGTCTTGATTTTGTTGTTCTAAATGCCCTCACTGAAATAAAATGAAAGTATAATTTCTCTTTAAAATAAAAAGTTAACCTGAAATACAGGGTGAATGATTAGTTCTCAGGAAATTAAGCTACCAACCAATGATTTTAACTATTGTTTACAGAAAATAACAAAAGCCCATACTGATATATTGATTAAATTTTGGTGTTTTTACAAAAAAAAAAAAAAAAAGCAATTGTGTAAAAAAAGGAAGATTTTGTACAACAACTCTATGAAAAAAAGAAAACAAATCAGTAACAGAATTAAATACAATAAGGATATCCTGCAAAACTTAGAAACAAATTTCATGAACTAAAAAAATATTTTTTTTTACAAATAAATTAATTAAAATATTGCCAATTTATTTATTCTGTCATTGTGCAACATTTTGTGACATAAATGTATATATTCTCATTTTTTAACACTAAAAGTTTAACAGTTTGTAATTTAGAGTTGTACTGAAATGTATAGATACACCTTTCCTCATTTAAAAGGCTTATTTTATGCGAACATTGTGTGGCAAAAACATTAAAAAAGAAAAATGTTCGCTTTTTTGACTGTACGGGACGCCGTAGTTACGTCACGACTAGCCTATATAAACTGGAGTCGGCGGCGCTATTGTTGTGCGGGGTGTTTCGTCTAACCCTATTCTGGGGCATCTTCCTGTTCTGAACGTTTGCTGTTTTGTTCCCTGGCTTTCAGCGAACTACAGGAGGGTCTGGAAGGCGCGCTGAGAGTATTTTACATGAATTAAATTGAAAAAAGCCAGGACAGTCTCCCCGTGGGGCTCAGCTCCCTGCGAGAAACGCCGTGAATGCATCGCCGTGGTCAGCCTGGCTGCCGCGAAGAGCTCGTCTCTGTTGCTCCGGGGTTTTCTAGCCGGGAATCCGAATCTGAGCAGACTAAAACCGAGCAAGGTGACCCTGTCGGGCCTGCAATGGTCCGGTTTGGCAACCGTGGCTCGAACATTTCCTGAAATTCTGATTTTATGTTAGTCGGTTTTTTTTTTTGCTGATTGTTCTGGTCATGCTAACGCTAGCTAGCTAACACGTTAACAACACCGGAAGTTGATGAAGCAGAAAAGGGAGATTTTGGCAAAGCTTTAAAAGTTCACTGTAGAGGGGAAAACATTGGATTTTAGTGTAACTAGCACAAATCTAATAAACGGATTCCAAACAGATGAAGTTAAAAAAACGATATATATGTGTGATGTAATATGTTTATAATAACTGGGACCATGTTTACACAATCACATTCCTTCACGTGCCACTTTTGTGTATGACAAAGAACCCTGAATCATATATATGTATATATATACATACACATATATATGTATATATATATATGTGTGTGTATGTATACGTACACACACATATATATATATATGTGTGTGTATGTATATACATATATACATACACACACACATATATATATATATATGTGTGTGTGCACAATGTAATGTTTGTAATAACTGGGACCATGTTTACACAATCACATTCCTTCACTTGCCACGTGTGTTTGACAAAGAACCTTGAATCCTATATATATATATATATATATATATATATATATATACAGTATACACATATAGCAAACCAGTTGACTGTTTCTTCATGATGTCCCAGCTGTGCATCTACAAAAACCAGGATATATTAAAGATAAAAATGCATTCAGTACTATAAAGATAGTGAAAACAAAGACACACTCCTTTGCATGCATACAGCAGCCTTAGTAATGTCTAATGAGACTAACCTGTATGAATGAAGGTTGAATGAAAAACGTCACAGTTTAAACGCCCAGCTAAGTGAAAGATGAAACATTTGATTTCTGACTTGTTCTCATGTCAGTCACATTTTAGCCTAATTCAGTTTATGTATATAGCACCAAATCACAACAAGTTGTCTCAGGGCCCTGCACAGAAACATTCACAAAACATAAAAATTCAGTTAACGTTAATTAAGGACAGTAGTGAGCTTTTGTGCTCATCATAACTCCCTCTCAGGTCGCTCGTTAACTCACCAGGGCAGTTCAACTTATAGTTCTTTCAACAAACTCTTGGCTGAAACCAATAAAATTACCAAAATAGAAAATAAAATTCCCAGTATTCTTTAAAGGAGGCATACCCGGTGTTATTCATGTCAGTTTTAAACTAAGGAATGACAAAGTGTTGCCAGTGAGAAGGTTGCTGGACCAAATCCTGGCCGGGGGCCTTTTTGCATGTTCTCTCTGCATACGTGGGTTTTCTCGGGGTACTCCGGTTTCCTCCCACAGATCAAAACACATGCATGTTAGGCTGAAATGTCCCTAGGCGAGAGTGAATGGTTGTCTTGTTTGTCTCTGTGTGTCCCTGTGATGGACATGGACCTGTCCAGTGTCACCCCACCTCTCGTACAGTGATAGCTGGATATGGACACCAGTGACTCCTTTGACCGGAAAGGAAGAAGCGGGTAAAGATAATGGATGGATTGACTAATTTGTTGTAGATGTCCATCCAGTGATCACTTTTTGAAGGTTTAGTTCTGTCCAGCGGTTCATTAGATGTTTTACATTTGATCCACCTGACAAGTTTTAGAACATCAACATTTATTTTCCCATCATGCACCTTAAAACAAGCTTTTGTTGGCAACATTTTAGCTGATGTTGCTGGTTCGATGCAAGCAGGCCAGCTGTTCCCAGTCTGACCTCTGCCAAACCTCCAGACTGTGCTGAGCTTTAAATGCCGCTTTGGATGCAGACTATTGTAACGCTAATTCATTTTCCAGTCGTCTCAGCTACAGTTTAAGAAGTTTCTGAAGGCACTAATGTCTTCTTCACCACGTACTGTATGTGGTGTGTGAAACATGTGTGTTACTGTTGAGGGGTGGGTCTGCGTCGTCGTGGCGTCTGCAAGAGGAAAAACAATGTCTACATGAAGTGGAGGTCTGTGCTGCAGCAGATCATTTGGCTCATAAAAGATGGGAGGAGTGCACAAACCTAAGGTTGGAGCTAAGATCTGCTGAGGTCACGGAGCAACATTAGGGCCGAAGATCAAGTTTAGACAAAAACAAAAGCCACTTTCAGCTCATCCTAATCTTTTACAAACACGCAGCTTTTTTTATACAGAAACATCTCTTTGTTTTGGATTTTTGTGTTTATTTGATTTTAGCTGTGCATATTTCAAAATGCTCAGCTCATTCAGGAGACGTGTGATGGTTTGTGCTTAACTTGTTAAATATTTATTCACCTTTATTTGCAGCTATTTACCTGATGGATATCTTAGTTCTTTTAATTAAATGTTCTTTTTAAAATGTACCTCATGTTGGCTCTGGTTTTGTCCTCTGACGCAATCTTTAGCTAGCTTTTTCGTTACTTTTACTTTTTAGCTAGACTTTTGCAACCTTAAGCTGTTGGCTAATTTTAGCTTTCAGCTAGCCTTTTTCTGCTTTTACATTTTGTTGGCCATTTGCTACTTGCAGCTAGCATTTTGATAGCTAATATCTTTCTATACTTTTTTTACCGTTCTGCTATTTTTTAGCTTTGAGCTACATTTTTGATACTTTTAACATTCTGTATAGCTTCTAGTTATCATTCAGCTTCTGTTAGCTAGACTTTTGAAATTTTTAGTAACTGTCACATTTTTTAGCTTTTAGCTAGTCTTCTGCTTTTAGCTAACCTTTTACTTCTTTTAGCAAGTTTTTTGCTACTTTAAGCTCTGCTACTTTTAGCTTTTAAATAGCATTATCTTCTTATAGCCACCATTCTCCTACTATAAGTTTTTAGCTAACCATTTACTACTTTTAGCTTATATACTGCTATTTTTATCTCTTAGCTAGACTTTTACTTTTAGCTATTCTGCTATATTTCCAGCTACCATTCTGCTTCTTTTTCTACTTATAGCCAGTGTTTTACTAGTTTGAGATTTGAGCCATTGTTTTCTTTTGAGCCCTGAGTTTTGAGGTAAACTTCAATGTGGTAGTAGCTGAGAGTCATCTCCAAGTTCCGAGCGTTAGCCGTTGGAGTCAACTCTGACGGCTTTTAGCAAAATATCTCATGAACCACTCTCTGGATTTTAACAACTCTTTGTGAAAGTAGTCACTGAAAGTACTGATTTGGAGTCAATTCAAAATGGCCGTCAAAGCTAACCACTCTAACACAACATATAAATGCCTGTGAATAAGTTAATTTAACAAACATTTAGCTAAAACATGATGTTTTAGTACCTGATGTGTGCTCATGTGTACTCCAAGACCCAACACAGTATATCCACTGAAGTCAGGTGTAACGTTTATGAAATTTGACGGCTACAACTTTATAATCCTCTGGATTATAAAAGTTAAAACGCCACCTGGTGAAGCGTTTACGTAAATGAGGTTTTGAGTAGAAAGTGTAAATGTTTCAAAGATGTTTGAGGCCGAGGATGATGTGGAAAAGACCAGGGAGGTTTTTTATTTCTGAAGC